AAAAAAAAAGAAGAAGAAAAGTTAAAAGGAGTAGCTAGGTGCAGCAGTGGATAGATTCTCGAGTCAGGAAGCCATGAATAAAAATCCAGATTCAGTTATTAGCTGTGTAATCCTGCGCAAGTCACACAATCACTAGTGTGTCTCAGTTTCAGTTCTAAAGTGGGGATGATAATAACAGTACCCACCTCCCTTGGAGCAAATTATATGATAACTGTAAAGTGCTTAAGTGCCTGAAACATAGTAGCCCCTAAGTAAATGTTAGTTGTTATTATTCTATGGAATTCTTTTATAAACCAAGAGAAAAACTATATGCAAAGATTTTTAAGAATTAATGCAGAAAAAAGAATGAGAGAACAATACATGAAAATATAATACTAAATATTATCAGAATTCAGATTATATGGAATGAGTAATCTTGTTCTAGACAAAGAGGTTCAGAACACTGTGTAAACTGTTAGGTGTGGTGTACTGGTTATTAACGATTAATTTTTTTCCTTTGTCGTAAGGAAAGGCTTTATTGAGAGTATAAGAAATACTTAAGATATAAAAAACAATAGTCTTTGTGAACACAGAAACTGGTGAGATGTGAGAGATCTGTTGATTGAGAATCAAAACTAACTGGATACTTTGGACAGGGGGAAGTGAGGAATTAAGAATGGTAGCCTGTGTGACTGGGATGGTGATACTCTCAAAAGACAGAGAGGAAAAGAGAAGAGTTGGAGGAAGGGTTAGCAATTAATAGAAACTCTAAGTAACCAACACACACATTGGTAGAGAAAGATACAAAGCCTAGATAAGGGAAGACACTAGCCCAAAGACAGTCAGCTAATGGGAGAGTTTGGACTAAGATGAAAGGGCTGTCTTAAGAGGTCATCTAATACTTTCAATTTTATATGAGAAAAGTTATACTAACATTCTAAATGTTAGTGTGAGGGTTCAAATCCAATTCCAGTAGTCTTGAGACTGCACCTCACTACTAAAGGGTCCACACAACCTAGCCATCCTTTTGTTGATACTTCATGTGGGCTTAAGAAAAATGACTAATAAAATGATTCATTCTTACCTATACTGCCTAAACCTCTACATATTAATCAATAGACTTACGTATCTAGCATTATAAAGCACCTCAGAAACTATGGTTTAGAAACATTTCCTCATTTTACAATAATGGGAAAAATGTGATCTTTCCCAGCTTCAAGTGACTTAGAGGAACATGTGCAGGTGGTTCCTATGGGATAAAGTATTAATGGCGAAGGAACCCTAGAGCTTATCCTCTCACTTTCTGTACCCTGCTTCCTACCTGGGTCCTGTGTGTTGCTGTTAGAACCTTGAGATGTTCCTTGGGCATCTTGCTCAGACTTGCTCTTGCTGGAAGCACTCTTGCTGCCAAAGAGGCTACTAGGTTGGTTCACAGTACGTGACAGTGTCTCCAAAGGCTTCAGGGCAGCATTGACAGTGTTGGCCATGTTGGGACTAACAAAGAGGAGACAAAGTGTACTGAATAGATTAAAAAAAAAAGACTAAAAAATTCTGACAGCATTCATCTAGAGCATGACCATCATCTGTACCCTAGTACATTGCTTATAGCTGAAAAAAAAATCTGGAATAAGACTTTAACGCAAAAGTCACTAAGATTATTCATAGAAAACAGTTATTACAGTGACATGTCAATGGTCTAAATGTGCACTAGAAGCAAAAGGCAGTTGAGTAGGATTAAGAACATTTGGGAACATAGCATGATTGGCTAATTATGGGTCACTCATGAGCATCTTCTAATCTACTATATGAATAGGCAGACCCGCATTTCTGGAAGAGGCTATTTATTTTACATTAGAGGGAAACTAAGGATAGAGTAAAAGGTGCCCTGGAAGCAGGATAAGCAGTCTTACCTGGAGAGGTCTAGACTGTGTGGTACTCGTGCAAGGTCATTCACTAGCCCCTTCTTCAAGAAGAGCCTTATGATGTTACTCACGCCATTGTGCTGGGTCTCTGCTGTGGCACTGCTGTAAAAGCTGGATGTGGAGGGACAGGATTCCATGATGGTACTGATGATGCACATTACTGCCTGGAGTCTGGTGAAAGGCACAATTCTAAGTTTAGCCCAGATTTTGTTACCGCTCAAAGTATACATAATCTTTTAGGGAAATTAAATCTCTCATTTCCTTTTCTTCAGAAGTAATGTCCACGCATGCTTGCTAGAACTGTTTGTTTATTTTAAACAAACAAATTTTTGCCATGGCATGTTAAATTTTTTTTTGCTTATAGATTACAAATAACTCCAAAAGAGCAGGAAACGAAAACTGAACTCTGAATCCTAAAAGGACACTTTTAGACATCTTTTTATCTATTATGTAGTACTCTGGGACTTCTCTGACTTTCCCACCAGACCACTGAGTCAATTTATCTCCTCTTTTCTTTCTGTTTTCTTTTTTTTTTTTTTTTTGTGTGTGTGTGTTATCTTCACCCATTAGATTGTAAACCTCTAGAGAATGGAACTGTTCTTTGTCTTTCTTTGTAACCCTAGTGCTTACCAGGCACTTAATGTTTCTTGACTGACTGATCTTCCCAGGGTTTAAGTGGAGGATTCAGCACACAGTAGGTGCTTAGAGATAACTGTTATGTTTCATAGGATCCAAAAAGCAGGCTACTACGATGCATATGAGGCTAAAGAAAGATGAAATGTTTACTTATACTCTATGCCAGGGGACTGCAGGCCAAATCCCACCTACTGCCTATTTTTGTTCATTTTGTACAGCCTGTGAGCTAAGAACAATTTCTACATTTTTAAATACAATAAAACAAACGGGCAACATTTAGCTTACTTCTGTCTGACTTACCTGGAATGTTTTTCTGCACTCTCAGTCATTGCCAGTGCTCTGCCTAAAGCTGCTTTCACTTCATTTACCAAAGCCACCTGAGCATCTGTTCCACTGCCTGCTGCAGCCAGACTGGCCAGAAAAAGGCGGGCCAGAGCTGGAGTGTCCTTGTCTTCTGCACTTTGGGTATGAGGAAGGAGGTGGTCCAGGACAAATGCCAGAACACTACAGTCCTGTAACATCATGAAACACAAACACAACTGTCTTTTTGACACTACATCAGTAATAAGAAAGGTTATATTATCATACAGACAAAGCAGTTTTGAGAAATAGAGAAAATAAAGCCAATGGCCACAAAAGGGAAGTGATTTATAGAAGATGAACCAAATTGTGAGCTGACAGAACCAGGAGAAGACTGTTAGAAATTCCCAACTTGGGAATCTTTGCAAAGGTATCTACACAAAGACTTTCAGTGTTAAGAATATGACTTAAAACTGGTTTGGTACTTTAACTATGCTTAAAAGAACCAAATCATCTGTTCAAAGTTTCAGGCTCAAGAAATTGTCTTCTCTTCCATTTTATACTCCTGCCCATTGTAGGAAAATGACATTTGGCTACTCAAAATACCTCTTTGATTAGTTCAGACTGGCCCACAGTGTAGCTGTAGTTGGCAATCAGGGTGGCAATGCCAACATAGGACCTCACCAACTCAGCCAATAGCCTAAGGATGGTGGAGGTTGGCATTAAAGGTTTGCTGCCTTTGGCTTTCTGTTTGCTTTCTTCAAAGGCCCGGTCTCCTTCTTTGTCCTTTTTCTCTTCCCGAGACTCTTCTGGAGTCAAAACTGTTGAGACAGAAAATGGATACCAAATCACTTTTACAATCTGCACTTCATAGAAATAGCAACAATAAAAGGCAGATGAAAATTTAGGGGACAATGGTGGATACTTAGGAAGATTTATAACAGAATAAGTTTTTTGGTGGACATGAAAAAATGAGCAAGAAAAAGGAAGAAGTCATGTTATCTGGGACAATATGGTACCACTATTTCTATCTGGTAGAAACCTAATACTACTAAATGGTCCTTCATTCTTGATGAATTACTGTATTAAAGTGCATAATAACCTACTAGTTCCTGTTTCAGTACTTTAAACTGGATTCCATAACACTGTATTTGATTCATAGGCAATAATTTTATTATTAATCTCTTTTAGGCCCACATTAAGGCCATTTTAACAAATACAAAGTCTGCCAAATGAAGATTACCATAACCACGATAACCCTGCCTAGCTAACAAATGTCACGATCTTATTAAATTCATAGAAAAAGCTTTTTTTCTCTACAGGAACAT